TATGACTCATTTTTTGTGTCTACATAAAATATTATAAGATCAAATAATTGTGGCTGAAAAGTCAGACCTCAAAAGATTAAATCAAACATATTTTCTGCCTAACAAGTTTAGGATAAATCCCTGCCTGCTCTGCACACTTCAAGCTGAGAGTACTGTTTCATGGCAGAGGCTATTCCCAGTCTCAGCTTAAGTGATGGGGAATTGGTTGGTTGGGATCAAACAGCACGGAGCTTTAAGGAGTCTCTGGGAATCAATAAGTTGAGCCAGTTACCTTCAGGGCCTGTGAATCGTGTATGGCTACGTGCTTTAGGTTACTGGTGTTTGGCTTGTAAACCTATTGCTTCTCTAAATCTACGGGAAGCACGTTTCTGAATGGAGGTGTGCCTCAGCCGGGGTCCTCGGTCGTGGCAGGGAGGGGTTCCTGCAGTGCCAGCGAGCTTCAGGAGCTCTGACCACTCCGCTCTTGGCACGCAGGATGAGTCCCGGGCAGGTGGGACCTGTTACAGACCCAGCTGAGAGCGGCTGCTTCAAGGACACGCAGGAATTTTAAGGTTTGTAGATGCCACCAAGTACGTTTTGGATGTTAGCAACAGGGATAGCTTTCTCCCTATTAAATTACATGGGGTTTGGATTGAGCTTTCCTCTTTATGTTTCCCCCCAACACTGCTAGTTACCATAGCGATGGCTACATGACTTTGTTGTAGTTGTTTTATTTAAATATAGCAGAAGAAATTGCTAGAGCTTGGGATTCTGGCTTCGAAAACTCGATTTAAGAAAAGCCTAACAGCTACTCTGTGTTATAGGTGCACAAAATAGCTTTAGAAACCACAGAGCTTCTACCACAGAAAACCACAGAACCACACAATCCTATAATTTGAAGAATGGACAAACTTTTTTTGGCACTTCTTGTGGACGGAGGACCAAAGTTTAGAGCAAGTCAATGTTTTCAGGCAGTTCGTAAACGGCTGCGAGCAACCCAGGACTCACACAGGCTGAAATCCCCCATCCCTGCACGAGGTGAGCTATGGCCAAAATTAAAGCTTAAACTCCCCCAGCCGTGTTCATTTGCAAAACTACAAATCTAAAATGAACTTCCAGAAAAACTGGAGGGTTTCTAGTCCAACCTTCCACTTTAGCGTTGAAAAAAATTGATTTGAAAGCACCCTGCCCGCTTGCTGGCAGGATGCTGGGCTGCTCTGCAGGGTGCTGGGTCTCCCCCGAGAGCTGGAAGGGCGGCCGAGCGACTGCAACGGCCCCGCGGGGCGGCAGGACATGGGTCTGTTCGGGGTGCTGCTTCAGCAGCAACAGACGCTGCGCTACGGTGTTTTCTGAAGATGAGTTCCCATGCAGTACAGATTTAACTGACTCTTCTGAAGTCAGCAGGTGAGAGAAAAACCGTTTTCAGCGTAGCGAAACGCAACGCTCTGAAACCCCGAGTGGAATTAACTGACTTTGAACAGTAACTCCTCTGGATGGTGTCTCGAGTTCAGAAATACTTGCTCAAACTTTCACTAGGAACATTGTGCAGGATTTGCTAGTTTCTGTACTTAACGTCCTCTATCTAATCTGGCAATCTATCTTGCAAGCATAGTGAGCCCATCACTGTGGTACCTTATAAGAATATGTGTGAAAATCTTGTTTACAACGGACTCTACATTTCCTCCCATCGGGTTTAACTACAACTTCTTTT